AAGAATGGATAAATAAATTGTGGCACATATACACAATGGAATACTACTCAGCAGAGAAAAACAATGACATCATGAGGTTTGCAGCCAAATGGATGGGTCTAGAAAAAATCATCCTGATTAACCAGACTCAGAATGACAAATATGGTATGTACTCACTCATAGGAGGATACTAGATGTGGAACAAGGATGACTGGACTGCTACTCACATCACCAGTGAGGCTGACTGTAAAACAGGACCCCAAGAGAGACACGGGGATCACCCAATGATGGAGAAATGGATGAGATCTACATGAACAGCTTGGACATGAATGGGAACAATGAACAGCAAGTGTCGAGGGAAGGAGAGCAGGAGATCCCACCTGGATCAAGAACAGAGAGGGAGAACAAGGAATAGGAGACTATGGTATATGAAGACCACATGAGAAAAGGAAGAAACAAAGTGCTAAAGCGGCCCTTAGAAATCCACAAAGATCCCCACAAAAGACTGCTGGCAATGGCTGAGAGAAAGCCAGGACTGACCTACTCTGGTGATGGGATGGCCAAACACCCTAATAGTTGTGCCATAAACCCCATCCAAGGACTGAGGAATCTAGATGCAGACATCCACAGCTAGGCCCTGAGTAGAGCAATGGGAGTCTAATTAGCAAGAAAGAGGAGGGTTTATATGAGCGAGAATTGTTGGAACCAAGGTTGGATAAAGCACAGGGACAAATAGCCAAACGAATGGAAACACATGAACTATGAACCAAAGGCTGAGGGGCCCCCAATAAATCAGGTCTTCTGAATAGGTGAGACAGTTGATTGGCTTGATCTGTTTGGGAGGCATCTAGGCAGTGGTACCAGGACCTGGGCTCATTGCATGAGAAGGCTGTTTGAAACATGGGGCTTATGCAGGGACACTTGGCTCAGTCTGGGAGGAGGGGACTGGACCTGCCTGGACTGAGTCTATCAGGTCAATCTAGTCCTCGGGGGTGGCCTTGATCTGGAGGTTGTGGGAATAGGGGTTGGGCTGGGGGGAAGGGGAGGGGGGCAGGAAGGGGGAGAACAAGGGAATCTGTGACTGTTATGTAGAACTGAATAGTATTGTAAAATAAAAGAAAAAAAGAAAGGTTTTCACCTTATATAGTAAACTATATACAACTAAAATGGTTATTATATAAGAATTACAGTAATAGTATCTGATCCACTTACATTTGGCAAAATTGGAGAAAATACTTAATTATCTAACTTACCTTGGTTTTCTATTGTTTTGTGTCTAATTTACTTTCTATTATAACTAAGGAAAACTATGATTATGGTTATTTAGTCTTCAAATTCATCCAAGACCCCAGAATGGTGAAAAGTTACCTAATGGCAGGGACATCAGGTTGCCTGGACAGTCCCCCATACTTCCTCTGTAACACTGTGGCATCCTAAGGTGGTCTACAGGCTAAGCATATCTGACAGACTTTCCTGTTAAGCAGAGAATATCGAAGGACTGTTCTATTTCCTTAGGGGTTATTGGTCTATTTAAAATGTTTATCTGTTCCTGATTTAAATTTGGTATGTGCTACCTATCCAGAAAATTGCCATTTTCTTTCAGGTGGAGTACAGGTTTTTTGAAGTATGACCTGATGATTCTCTGGATTTCTTCATTGTCTGTTTTTAGGTCTCCCTTTTCATTTCTGGTTTTGTTAATTTGGATACTCTCTTTCTGCCTTTTAGTTAATTTGGATAAGGGCTCGTCTATCTTGTTGAATTTCTTAAGGAATCATCTCTTTGTTTCCAGTTTTCTTGAAGCTCACATCTGAGGTTCTTGTTTTAGTTCCTAAGTTTTTCTTTTGCAGATTTCTTTTAAAATGAGTTTTCTTGATTGATTTTAATTCTACTTTCTGGTTTGAATGGATTATTTATTTATTTCCACTGTTTTTGTTTTCATAGATTTCTTTATGAGATTTACTCTATTCCTCTATCATTTCCATACATGCTATTTTAGGGTCAATTTCTTCTTCTGTAGCTATGGTAGAATATTCAGGGCCTGTTCTAGTATGATTTCTGGGCTCTAGTGAAAACATACTGTCTTGGATGTTATGGACTATGCTTTCAGGTGGCATCTAGGCATCTACGATTGTGAAAAATATAATTCTACATGCTGATATCTGGTCTTGTCTTTGTTGGGTTCCTGCTTCCTTCCTTATTTTTGTTGCTCTGTCTGGTACTTAGGAGAGTGTAGTGGCTGTGTGTTGTCTGGAAGGAAATTCTTCCGGGATCCTGATAATTGTGGCCAATAGGAGTTCCAGGTAAAATGTTTCCAGATATAGAAAGCTGAAACTTAGGAATGGGAATAGTCTAGGAGGTTGTCCTAATAACGTCCACAGGAAGGAAGATAGAAACATTTTCCACAGGAGCTGCTTAGTTAGTTACCTGAGAATGAGGCCACTGAATGAGGTTAGGGCACAGGAGAAGGTTCGATATAAAGCTATGAATGAGAGTAAGGAGTAGATTTTAAAAAATGGAGGGAGAGATGAAGATCTGAATTTAGCCTATTTGCTTTCCTTGTTATAGTGTCCTGTAAGTGCTTAGGGAGTGTCTTCTGGAAGTCAGGATTTGCTATGACAAAACAAAGAGTATGGAGAGGAAACTTTGGAGCATAAGACTTCTGTTATCCATGTGAACCAATGGCATTTGGTGGAGGTAGCCTGTAACAGATATTCTACACCAAGCTGGGAAGGAGACTAGGAGCCTGGACTTAAAGGAGCAAGTAGAGATATGAAGATGTGCATTTAGCCTAACTGCTTCCATGCCCAGTTTGATCTATGAGTTCCCAGGGAATGCATGATGGAGTTGAGGTGTGGGGCAAATCAATGCATTGATGTTGGGATGTTAGGAGGTGAGGGAGATCCACTAGAGAAGTGAGTGGCTGAGGCAGGTGTTCTGCTACAGAGCTAGGGGTAACCCTGGGGTGGTTGGACTTAAAGGAATGAGGAGGAGGTTAAGATGTGTAGTTACTTTATTTCTTCATGACCAGACTGTTCTTTGTTTTCCCAATGAGGACCTCTTGGATTTGGATGCCGGGATAGTACAATGAATTACTGGACTAAAGTTAGAAGATCTGTGGAATCCATTATATGTTGGGGTGGGCAGTTGCTACAGATTTTCTGTAGCATAACTGGGCATAGAAATGGGGAACTGGATCTGGAGGAGCACAGTGAAAGCTAAAAATCTGCAGCCAGCCTACATGCTTCCCTGGCAAGAGTCAAAATATAATTTTTAATGTAAAATATTAAGGAGCATCAAAAACAGGAAATTGGATTATTCAAAAGGAATTGGATCTCTTAATGGTATCATCCAGGAACACAACGTTTCTATATGAGTAGCAATATGAAGACTCTTTTGTCTTTTGTAAAATCTTTTACTTTCTCTTCATAAAATTCAGTATTTCCCAGGAATCTTCCTTACTAAGATGTCTTTGTTGCATGGTAGTGCAGTTTCCCATAAGTTTTCTGTCCAACCATTCCACACATTTTTTTCTGTTATTGACATGGTTGTTTACCTTCCCATGAGATATTAACTAAATCTGTGATAAAATATGTAATAAAAGTTTTCAGACAGTGATACATTTAGACCCCCAGTAAAAGTGTCCCAGCCCAGAAAAAGTGTCCTGTCCAGAGGGAACTTCAGCAAAGACCCTAGAAGGGTGAATGGTGAATGAAAGGAAAAAGAGACACAAAGAATTAACAGCAAGACAGTATTCTGATTAAGCTACAAAATTTTATTTTTCTCAGGTGGGCTTTATAGCAAGCAGACCAGGAAAATTTCTTTGGGAAAAGATCAGAGGACTGTTAATTTGCCAAGCAACCCAACCAAGCAACCTAACCTCAAAACTTTGTTACTTATGGTTACTATAGCAGAAAAATAAGGAAATTTTAAGTTATTTTCTAATAACTCAGGACATTTCCGGGCATGTCAAAAGTTTCTGGTTAGTGGCTCAATACTGGACAGCAGAAACTTAACTCAGGCATGCAATATGGCATGGCTCTTACAATTGTCCTCAGCAGAAAAGGGATGGAATTCAAAGCAAAATCCAAGACTGTGCCTTCTTGTGACTATTTCTTAGTATTAACCCAGTTGTGGTAGTTCACAACTATAATTCCAGAATACGGGTATCTGAAGCAGGAAGACTATGAATGTGAAGCCCTTCTGAGTTTCAGCATGAGGTAAAACTCGAAACAAACTAATATCTCCCAGAAGTTCCCCCAAGTAATAATTATTGAGATCAGTCTTATGAAAGTTTAAAACTATTATTCACATTTACCCATAGGGTGCAGTTTTACAGGTTTTAAATATTAACCTCTCTAAATTCTTTGTGCACATTCCCTTCTTTCCCGGGGATATTTGTCTAGAATTATTTCTCTTAAGTCTCTTTGAACATCACAGGGCATGTTGGGTACAGTGGTGCACACCTTTAATGCCAGCACTTTGGTGGCAAAGGCATGTAGGTGGATCTCTGACATCTTTGAGCTTGAGCTCAGTCTGGTCTTCAGAGCAACTCCCATCCCACCAGACAGGGCTCCATATTGAACACCTCTCAAGAAATATATCCCAATACATTTAGTAGGTGTGTTGTCACATACATGTGAACACATCTCTGCAACCATGGAAGCAAGAGGATCAGCTGTTAAATGAATTCATCCACTACGAAGTAAGTTTGAGAACAGCATTGGTTATATGAGACCATGTCTCTAATATCCTCTCCTCCTTAGAAGAAATTCCAGCCTGTGAATCTTAGGGCTATAGATCAGTCACAATGCAAGCCCACTCAATATAAAAATGCTGTGGAACTGCTACCCTGTCAACATTTTCTGTATCTTTTCTAAACCCCTTTCACTGCCTTCTCATTTCATGTTCCCATTTCTTTCTTTACATCCTCTTTTCATCCTCCATCCATAGTTCCCATCTCTGCAACTGCTCTCTCAGAGCTTTCTCTTGATAACCTTCATTTTTGTTTCTTCTTCTTTTAGGACACAAAGAGCACCATAAAGAAGATTTGTGACTTCCTAGGAAAAAAATTAGAGCCAGATGAGCTGGATATGGTCCTCAAGTACAGTTCCTTCCAAGCCATGAAGGAAAATAAAATGTCCAATTTCAGTCTCATTAAAGAAGATATGGCTCCTAATGGTTTGGACCTCTTGAGAAAAGGTGAAGAAGTTTTTGAGCTTTAAATGATGTCAGGACATGTAGAGGGCATGTTGTTCCAGTGAAACTCTAGGAAAGAGTGGGAATGTTTCAGAAGTCATTGTTCATCACATCATGGTTTCTCACAGACCTTACAGAAGATTCATTCCATGGTGATGATATGGGCTTCAGTACCTCTGAAAAAATTGATTTCTTCTGGGAGAGGATCTTGGGATTGCATATGGTTGTTTCCAATAACCTAAATAGAAAACGAAAGGGAAGACATGTTGCAATGAGGCTTAGGAAGGTTCCATATATCATAGAAAACTAAATAAATCACATAGTGCATGGGACCAAAGACATATTCGCAATGATGATCACAGAAAACACTTCCATTCATGGCTGAAAATGATGTTGAACATGCCAGGATTGCTGTCCCACACCAGGCTGACAATAGACCCCATAAAGACTAAGAAAATTATTCACCAGGGTTACACCTGATGGTATTTACCAACTTAAATTTGGATTGCATCAGGCTCAGAGATAATCAGTTTGTTCTGAATGCCTCTCCAGGAATGGGAATATCCATCTTCTCTGTCTGTGCTACCTCTCTATGCTGGGAGAAGATTGTGGGTTTGTTTCCTTAGCTGTAAAGTTGAGGAGCCACTGTACCAAAAAGAACCAGACCAGGAATGTCACCTTTTCTTATTACCAGATAATTGGTGAGATGGGACTTGGCATTGAAGAAGGAATGAATCAGATGTCATGTCTTTGGGGATAAGTAAAGAAAATGGATATAGACTCAGCAAAGGAGAATTATTGATTATGTGTTTAATTTTAGTCTTCCAATAATTTGTATGCTTCAGCCTTAACCTCCAACCCTCCTCCACCCTAGATTGTAATGATCAGGTCATAGAACACAAAGACATCAGGAGTATACAGACAGAGAATTAAGTTAAAGTGGTTAGCAGATTGCATTTATTTCAATACTCCTGGTGTCCTCACAAGAGGAAGTTTGGGCTCAGATTTGAGCACATATACATGTTACTTCAAGAATATCATTGTCTATACACTATGGACTGAGACCTCTGGAGAATCCACTGCTGTTGACAGATAACCTCAGACTGCTGTGCTCTAGACTCTGTGGAGACAGAGTTGTCTGCATTAGAACAAAAGG